ATAAAGTATTAAATAAATATGAAAATAGGTTAAAAAGTTATAAAAGTTAGAAGTAATATAAAATAAGTATACATAAATGCATAAATATATAAATAATTAAAATAGTTATTATTAAAGCTATGTAGATATAGATGATGTATACAGATGGGTAAAGCCCCAAGCTCAGATGCCTTTACAAGTGACCTTATCAGGTTCTGCCCTTACCCTCATAGAGTGAAAGCATTTCACCCGTAAAATAAATAATACCGGTCAACATGTAATAGTCAAATGGACACAAAAGAAAACATTGGAATTAGGGTCTACTAAAGTGTATTAGGCCTAGGGCAAACGTCGAACTTTCCATGCACCGAACTCATTAAAAACAATGGATATCAGGTGATAATGAGACGGCATTCTTTGATGTAATTAAGTTCGGTGCATGGAAAGTTCGATGTTTGCCCTAGGCCTTAGTCTAACATCTATTTCAAAGGTTGAAGCTATGGCCATTTTATGGGACTTAACATACTTTTATATAATGCTTTTTCAGACTTCTTTAGCCCACATTATTGCAAATAATGCCAAGAAAAGTGGTCACTCAAGGTTTGTAACTCTGTCTGCAACTGCGAGTGGTATTAATGAAGTCAAGGAGGTGATTAAAGTGGCCAAAAATGAACAGAAAATGTCGAAGCGCAAGACTATATTGTTCATGGATGAAATACATAGATTCAATAAGTCACAACAGGTATTTATGTTTCTTTTGAAAGGATGCAGGGCTAAGACTAACAGCCGGTTATCAGAAAATGCCTGATCAGAAGTGGATATTTTTCAATCAAGCATGGTCCGCGGAAGGGGTGGAGGAGGTGGACTACAGCCCCCCTCCACCATACTTTTTCCCTTTTCCCATACTAGTTTCTTATATTTTCCAATCTTATTTTCAATACTAGTCTCAATATAAGCCCCATCCCCACTTTTTAGGATACTCCATGGCCCCTGTCAAATGAGGTATGGCCAAGCTAAGTTAATGGAAACTCCTTTAAAACTCAAATTTATCTTACATTATTAGGCTAACATGTGGAAGAAGAAAAAAGAAGTCACACTTTTTCTGATGGAATTGGTGGCATTTCTTTTGTATTTCCATGTTAGTCTTGCATTCAAGACAATTTATCTTGAGAAGTGTCCATTTGGCCAGTCATTGTGAGCAGTGACTGACAAGAGGTGACTGACAAGCAGCTATTTTTGGCCCTAGGATGAATGGAGTGCTCATCTTTCACTTCAGATTAATTCCTTTTTTAAGACAAGGAAATTTGCTTTTGAATTTGCCTCAGTTTTAATTCTATAAAGTTTAGATGTACTACGAGGAACTACAAGGGTAGTATAGCTGCATTAACAGTGCTCGCCTTTTACCAATGCTGCTAGGGTTCGATCCCCATACTTGGTGTCATATTTGAGTAACTTGGTTCTCTACTATGCTTTGAGAATTTTTATCTATTTAAACAAAAATCCATTTCTAGATTCCAGCTGGCTAAGGATTATCAATAATATTTACTCAAGAACTGCAGACCACCATGGGGGGAGGGGCTTAGATGGAAAAAGGTAAAGTGGGGGGGGGGGGGGCTACAGCCCACCCAGATCCCTCATCTCCACGGTCCCTGTTACTGATTCTACTACAAAACTACTTGTAGACATAACCCTTCATTCTTAAAACTTCTCTCTTAATAGGATACCTTTCTTCCTCATGTTGAAAATGGTACAATCACTTTAATAGGAGCAACAACAGAAAACCCTTCCTTCCAACTAAATACTGCCTTACTGAGTAGATGCAGAGTCATAGTACTGGAGAAGCTGTCTACAGAGGCACTACAAATGATTCTTCTTAGAGCTGTCAAAAGTATGGGATGTGTCATGGAGGATGAAAGTTTGAATGGTGATGACACGTTGGAACAAGGAAGGTTTGTTAAAATATTATGATGATAATAATGGTGTGGCAGTCATGATGGTCGTAAGTACAATGATCGTTATTACGATGATAGTTGTGGTAGTGACAATGATGAGAACGGTGATGGTGATGGTGGTGGTGGTGGTGGCGATGGTGGTAATGATGATAGTGGTGATGGTGATTACGATGATAGTTGTGGTAGTGACAATGACGAGAACGGAAATGGTGATGGTGGTAATGATGATAGTGGTGATAGTGATTACAATGATAGTTGTGGTAGTGACAATGAAGAGAGCAGTGAAAGTGATGGTGGTGGCAATGGTGATGGTGGTAATGATGATAGTGATTACGATGATAGTTGTGGTAGTGACAATGATGAGAACGGTAATGGTGATGGTGTTAATGATGATAGTGGTGGTAATGATGTCTAGTGGTGGTAAGTAGTGTCGATGATGATGGTGATGGTGTTGGCAATAAAGATGATAACAGCATGTTAAGAATTCACATCTACATTTAGTATACTTCACTTTCTAAAACTCTTGAGACCCTGTACCAACTCCTTGAAAAATTCCAACCACCTTCTCCAACCCCTTGAATTTAAAATGAAAGGAAAGAATAGATTATTTTCCTACACTTCAGTATGATGCTGAAAGTTTCATTGTAATCCTTTGTATGTTAACTTCTACAGTGGAGCACAGGTTGTCATAGAAAAGGATGCAATAATTGCATTGGTAAACTTCTGCGATGGTGACGCAAGAGCAGCTCTCAATGGCCTACAACTTGCAGTGCAATCCCAAATTGCAAAAGCACAACAAAATATAACTAAACAGACCAATGGGTTGACTTCTGATGCCGAAACTGGAAAGGAAGACACGAAATTGCATAAAGATTGTATAACAGTAAATGTTTCTCACATCAAAGAAGGACTACAAAGAACACATATACTTTACGACAAGAAAGGAGAAGAACATTACAATATCATATCGGCATTGCACAAATCCATAAGGGGAAGTGATGCTAATGCTTCGTTGTATTGGTTGGCAAGGATGCTTGCTGGAGGTGAAGATCCCCTTTATGTTGCTCGCAGGCTTGTGAGGATGGCAAGTGAAGACATTGGTAAGCTAAATCAATATTTAAGCATAGACATGCAGTCTTCTACACAGCAGCTCTTTGTGAGGACAGTAATAGTGGCTACCCAGATTAATTATAGACATTATGCAACTCAGGCTTTCCACTATTTTGGAAAAATAAAATTTCCTGACTTTTCCCTTAACACACTGTACACTTACCTTACTGCTTACAGTTTGACCACAGAAAGTGTGACTAAGAATCATAATCTATTGGAAGCCTACTCTTGAGTATTATAAACTGATTTGTTTAAAAAGTTTCCGTTGAACTTCATAATTGTCACTGAATTCCAAACGATTTTGTGAAGGCTTACAGAAATTCCCTAACTTTTGGGTTGACCAGTTGCAAAACTTAAAATCAAAATCATTTCCCCGACCTTTAAAAACATCAGAATTTTTTGACTTATCCCTGACTTTGGGAACCCAAACACTGTTGAACACACCATTCCAGTGAGTAGAGTGCATACCAACTATGTTAGAAATTGCACAAATTAGTAAGTTCAGTAAACCTCAGTAAACCTTAGACCTACAAAGCAAAACTTGGCACTAATGAACAGGATTTCAAAATATCTGTTTAGTAACTAGTTTAGCAGTTTAAATGAACTTACTTCATAGGTTTGGCAGATCCAGAGGCCTTGACACAAACTGTTGCAGCTTACCAGGCTTGCCATTTCATAGGAATGCCAGAATGTGACGTAAGTAATAAACACTGATTACGAGCGAGTGTAATTTGATTATTATTTTGTTTAATGCACTTGAATGCTTGCACTCTATACACTCAAAATAAATTAATTTATTGCAGGTTATTCTTGCTCAAGCAGCAGTGTACCTAGCCAGAGCTCCTAAATCCATTGAAGTCTACAGAGCATATAACAATGCAAAGAAGTGTGTGAAAGAATGGGAGGGACCACACCCATCCGTACCTCTACATATAAGGAATGCGCCGACGAAGATGATGAAAAACTTGGGGTATGGTGCTGGATATAAATACAACCCCGACTATGATGAGCCTGTAGAGCAGTCATACCTTCCTCCTGAACTGGAAAATGTTAACTTCTTTTAATATAGATAGAAGTTAGTGGTGGTGGTGCATGGCTTATTCAGGGGTATAGCCAGGATGGGGCAATCCTCACGCTGTAGAAACCAAAACATAGTTGAAGTCACGTGATAAGTTTGACTTGCCAATCTTCAGAAAATGGGTTTTGGGCCCCTCCCAAAGCAAATTCCTGGCTATTCCCATGCATATACAGGGGACTACATAATTTCGCGATCAAGTTGATTTGGCATGCTGTTGCTCTGTTTAATAAATCATAGTTAACTATCAACTATGGTTAAATGAATGTGTATATTAACTATATGTGCAAGAGTAATATGGATTTGAGGTTACAGAGCAAAAGCATTTTGAAGCACTGTCATATAACATGTAAGCTTAGTCGTTAGAATGTCTTATTTTACTGAAACCCACCCCTCTGTGTTAGTCACCGTTGAATAAATAAATAAAGTAAAAGCGAATGTTTGTGGTATTGGAAATCGCATCGTTTTCGCGCTCGCCATAGCATATTGGTTTTGACTTTATTTCATGTGGTGGCTCCTAAAAGAGCCGTTTGATTGTTAAGTAGCGTATGTTACGCTTTAATTCTTGGGAGATTTGGCTGCCTTCTTTGCCGCGGGTTTCTTGGCTGTCTTCTTGGCGGGTTTTTTAGCTGCTGGCTTCTTAGCTGGCTTGGCTTTAGCAGCAGGCTTCTTGGCTGCTTTCTTTGGTTTCTCTGCAGCTGCTTTCTTTGCCTTCTTGGGAGACTTGGCTGCCTTCTTTGCCGGTGACTTAGGCTTCTTGGCTTTCTTGGCGGCCGGTTTCTTAGCAGGTTTCTTAGCAACGGGCTTCTTCGCTGGCTTCTTCTTTGGTTTCTCATCTTTAACGGCCTTGTTCAGTTTGAAGGATCCAGAAGCACCAACACCCTTGGTGTGTACAAGGATTCCTTTCTCGCTCATTCTCTTGAGCGCCAGCTTCAGATGATGACCACATTTGTCCCCGACCTTGTAGTTGCCTTTGATGTACTTGTCGATGGCTTGACGGGACGATCCATTGCGTTCCTTCAAGGCAGAAATCGCTGCTTTTACCATATCGTTGTATATAGGATGCTCAGCTGGCTTTGCTGGCTTCTTCGCTGCTTTCTTTACTGCTATGTCTGACATCTTGAATAGTGGATAAATATAAAATCTTCGAATAACCTAAGACTTTGCTTTACGATCGAATATGATGCACATTGAACGCTTATCCAATATATACGCGGCAAGCGGACCTCCGCGTAAGCACACCCAAGCATTTAAGCACGAATATGGCGTCCTGTTGAAAATGTGTTTGTTTCATGAAGTTAAACTTGATTTTCCTTCGAAGTAAACATTATAATAGCAACCAAAGTACTCAGAAATATAGGCTAAATTATGAAGTTTTATAAGGCTACCTCAGTTTCGAGATATCTTCTACACTTTGATATTTTGAAGCTCATTTATCAAGTTGATCTTAGTTCCATTTCATTAACTCAAAAGTTTGGTACTTTCAAGAGCGAGCGCTTTTGCAAATTGATACAATTAGGACATAAAAAGTTTCTAAATTTATCTAACATTTATATTCCTTAGTTCATTTTGGTGTAGTATTGCTTTAATCTAGAGAAATTTTCATTTTCCCTAAGGTCACAAACACACAAGACCGACCTTCGCCTCACCATTGTGCGTCGTTGACCGATCCCGTACACGTATATATGATTTTCTAACTTTTTCTAGACATATTTTTGATATCGCGGCCATTTATTTCTCGGTATGATTTTTTTTTGGATAAAAAATTATTTAGTCTCGGTTAAAGTTATGTATCCCTGGGTTCCAGAGTAGGTTGAACAGTACAGTTTGGTGAAGTCCAAAGTTTTTGTTTTAACATTTGTCACTCCGAAAGAATTTTTATACAAAGCTGACTAGAATGAAGACAGAGAAGCACTGAGAAGAGAAGAGAAGAGAAGAGAAGAGAATAAAGAAAACCATTGAAAGGAAAACGTAAAAAACATACACAGTTCAGTCTTTATATGCACGTACGCTAGGAAGACTCTGCTAGCAGGGAAGCGCGCTACGAATTGTTTTTTTTAACTTGATTAATAGTTATTACCTTAGGCCTATGCTTAGGCCCTGGCTAAATGTTTCCAGACACCATAATAACTATGCAGACACATGTTTACCGGGCGCATGTTTCCCAGTTTAGCCATGCGAAATACTGTTGCGTGCAACAAATTTTGCTTCCAAGACGCAAAAAAGTTTTTTGCTGTGCGGCAGAAACATTTCATGTTTCCAAGACGCATGGAAAATATTGTTTGAAAGCAAAATTTGTTTAGCCAGGACCTTAGAAGATCTTTTAGGGAGGTGAAACTCATGATATAAACTTCCAAGATTTCGAAAAGAAGCACCAGCAAAAYATAAAATAAACGGACAGTTAATATTTGAAGCTTTTGGCGCCAAAACTAGAGTTAAGTAAGCCGTTTGAGAAATGGCGCGCAGAAAGAACTTTCAATATCTAGAGAAATTAATTCAAAACTAATCAGATATTATTTTGTATCAGGCCTCGAGAAAATGATAATTTAGTTTTGCGTAAGACAGATAGTGCTATTTAAGTTTTGCTTGTAAAGAATTGATTCTTTATGACCATGCATGTTATGTATGTCTCATTATCTTTAACTCTCTTTTTTTATCATTTTAATTTGAAGCATATTGATTCAGACTTTTTWGTCATGTGGTGGCTCCTAAAAGAGCCGTTGTTTTGTTATGGTGCTGAGAACTTAAGCTCTCTCTCCACGGATTCGGCGGGCAAGCTGAATGTCCTTGGGCATGATGGTGACTCTCTTGGCGTGAATGGCGCATAAGTTGGTGTCTTCAAACAGACCAACCAAGTAAGCTTCACTAGCCTCCTGAAGGGCCATCACAGCTGAGCTCTGGAATCGAAGATCGGTCTTGAAGTCCTGAGCGATCTCACGGACCAGACGCTGGAAGGGCAGCTTGCGGATCAACAGCTCAGTTGATTTCTGGTAACGACGGATCTCACGAAGAGCGACGGTACCGGGYCTGTAACGATGAGGCTTCTTGACTCCACCAGTTGCTGGGGCACTCTTTCGTGCTGCCTTGGTGGCAAGTTGTTTTCGGGGAGCTTTTCCTCCGGTAGATTTACGGGCAGTTTGCTTAGTACGAGCCATTTTTAAAATTTAGTTGAGTATTTTCGAACTAGATAATCAAAAAACCTTCTATTTCGATTTTTATATCAGCCGCGCTTTACTCTCATTGGTTTAAATAAATTCGTGTCCCGATTGGACAACAACGTCGAATCTCCAATATGATTGGCTACCGTTCGATCCCGGCATTACTCAAAGCTTGTAAAACTTTGAAGCTCTCGATATTTTGTGCCAAAATTTACCTAAATAAAATTACTCCAATTCGATTTTAACACTACGAATAGATTTATCAAAAGGTTGTGAACGAATATTGTAAAAATTAAGGGTTAATGTTGAAAATGTCGTGAGAAAATCAACAAAGAAATCTTGGTATTTCAAATTCGATCAAAAGTTTGGATCGAAATATATGTTAATTAGACACGCGATATATTACTAATTGAAGTTATTTTAGACCAATCAAAATTAAATTTGACGTGCTTTCGAGTTGGTTCGGTTGAGTGTTTCCTATAAATACTGCGAGTTCATATTCGAACTTTATTCTTGTTCAGAATTCAACTATAATTCAAAATGTCTGGTCGCGGTAAAGGAGGAAAAGGTCTAGGAAAAGGAGGCGCCAAGCGTCATCGTAAGATCCTTCGGGACAACATCCAGGGTATCACCAAGCCCGCTATTCGTCGTCTTGCTCGTCGTGGTGGAGTCAAGAGAATCTCTGGTCTGATCTACGAAGAGACCCGTGGTGTCCTCAAGGTTTTCCTTGAGAATGTCATCCGTGATGCCGTCACCTACACCGAGCACGCCAAGAGAAAGACCGTCACAGCCATGGACGTTGTCTACGCTCTAAAACGCCAAGGACGTACCCTGTACGGATTTGGTGGTTAGATGAGTTAACCAACTCGTTTACAACAAAACAACGGCTCTTTTAGGAGCCACCACATGATAAAAAGGTTTTGATCAAATGCTTCCCAAATGACTAAACCATATATACACAATAAAGAATATTAATATACCATTTATTCATCCCTAATAAATATATTATAACGATATCATAATCTTTATATAAAATGTCAAAAAGTAGTTCTCAATTTTTTCGCATGATAATAAGTATTAACTAAATAAGTATCAAATACAGTAGATCATAAGTTTAGCTCCAATTTTATTTATATTTATTCCATATTTATTTCAAGATCTCAGAACCAGCACTTTTAATCTATAGAAGAAAAAATTAGGTTTTGTTTATGAGAAGTACAGTTAATAGATATTTAATTATAAGATACCACAGATGTGAAAAATTGGAGGCATCCCTATTAAAAGTTCGAGTTTAGCAATCCTTAATTTAATGCAATTTCAACATATTTTCCTTCATCATTTTCTTCAAGGCACTGATCACTTTCATCACTGCTTTTCATGATAACCTCTCCACTTGTTTCCCTTATTATTTTCCTTTTCATCTCCCAATTATGCCATATCGTGACTATAACTGAATCTAGGACAAGTATTCCAAGATGTATAATGATCATCGGAAGAGCCATAATTCCCTGTTCTGCGCCAGTGAAAGGAAGTAGTGCAACTACTGTAACAGCTACAGTGAGAGACTTTTGGCTAGCGAGAATTACAAGACACTTTACAGCAGGTTTTTCGATGCAAAGAAGGAGAGAGACAGCCAAGATTAAGCCCATGAAGACTAAATGTAAGAATAGTCCCCAACCCAAAATAGCAAATATTCCACCGATTGTAACATCATTGAAGGCTCCTTGTTGACTTGACACACTTACTTTCAACCAGGGAACCATGATCAGTAAAGTGATACTTAAGATCTTTAGTGTGTTGCTGAACTTCTTCACAAATGGCTTGACCTTAGGTATGTACCTCATTCCTTTACCAACCTAGAAATAAATAAATCTTAACGACATGCCTTTCCCAAGATACAAAACAAGCAAGTTATACCATGCAATAATATTGTTCTTTGCAGGCCTGTAGCCACTATTGAGGCAAGAGAGGCAATTGCCTTGGTAAATTATAAAAATAACTTGCCATCGCTAATCACTGCCGCAAAGTACAGCAGCTGTGGCACAGCTTGACAGTGTCGAACTGAAAGCATATGAAGGTGCCTCTGGCAGCCGCTATAGTGTCACAAATGTCCCTCAAAACTATGGAAATTGCATATCCTATGGTTTCAATTTCAAAGATCTTTTTTCCAGTTTCCATGCTCAAATAATTGCAAATGATCCACCACTAACATCAGTCTTATAGACACCCCACTAACATCAGTCTTATAGACACCCCACCCCTTTTAAGAATTTCAAAATTGTGTGACCCTCCCCTTTACTTTATGACTAGTCCCTTAGCAAAAGATTTTTCATTTTTAACCAAAAAGCCTAGCAAGCAGTTAACATAAATGTAACTTTTCATTGGCTTTGAACCATGCCATAATCAGCAATGTTGCAGTTTGTGCTTTCATGAAACGTACTGCATACAATATGCCTAGTCTACTTCTTTTTGCATGCAATAGTTGCATTGTGTGCTTGAGAAAAATTTGGTATGTTGGATGATATAGCACTATTTGTTTGTGCCGAGAAATGATTGTTAAATTGAATATTCAAGGACTCAAAAACAATTTTTCAAGGAATAATGAGCTGAGTTACTACGATTTCGATGATGTTTTATAAAAATGTGAACTCACACAAAAACATGACTGGCTTGCTAATTCATGTCTAATGAATATAAAATTTATTTAATATAACACCTGCTTAATTTTTAATTATATTAGACTTGATATACATTGTGACCATTTTATGGCCTATATAACTTTGAAGAGCTTTAGAAAAGCATGAATTTTAAATTAACATTGGTTATCAAAAACTTTTGAGCAACATAGAACAATGGAGTTACCGACCATTATTCAGTATAAATTAAGTATGAATTGCAAAAGTATGAATTGAAGGAGTTTTCAAGGAGTTTGAGCAGAAATTCTTAACTTCAAGAGCTTACTAATATTAAATTAGACGTGTACCTCTTAACTAGACAGTTGAAACATGTATAGCAATGCCATTTTCATTAACAATTTTGGTCTTTGAAAGTTCCTCTCTGTTTGTCCTAACTTCTTTATTGCGTGCAATATTCTGCTCAGTTCTGTTATGCCAGTACGTTACAATAAAAGCATCAACAACAAGTATTTCTAAATGTATTATGACTATCGGCAGTGTCAGAAGCCCTTGAAATGCTCCATCAAATGGCAGTAACGATAGCACTGTCACAGCTACAATAAGAGATTTCTGACTTGAAAGAATCACAAACGCTTTAGTTTCTGCTTGCTCAAGCCTCAATAACACAGAACACCCATAATTGATGATCAAAAATCCTAGATGTAAGGCAAGTCCATAGGCCAATATGGCAAATGCACCAGCTATATTGATGTCTTTAAAGGCACCGTGGTGGCTGGATAGGCTGACTTTCATCCATGGAATCATGATCAGAAGAGTTACACTGATACATTTTAAGATGTTGGTGTTTTGCTTGACAAAATATCGGACATGAGGGATGAACCTCAGAGCTTTCCCAACCTAATGGTTAAGGAGTAGAATATGCAGTTTAAAAATTTGCACCAACCCCCTCCCCTCCCCATCCCCTCCCCCTCCCCCCAGGCATAACAACATTAAAATACATAAAAAATTGTTAATTTAGCAAAAGTCCCATGATCCCTTGGGAGAAGGGAGTATGAGGAAGAAGACAGTTAAAAAGCATATCGTTTTCAAATGCATTTCTATCAAGATTCAACAATTCAGTGTATTATTGAAATTTTAATTTCCATTTTGCTTTGAAGCTTGCATTAATGAAAAGGACTTTGCGAATTTGAATTCTGGGCTCGGATTAAAAGCTTATTCAATTCTTCACGGATTCGTGCAAAGTTGAAATTATTTCCACAATAGTAGCAACAATTTTAAAGTTATTTGATTGGTGTGATGTTCTGTCCAAAAAATCCTTTCACAAATGAACATTTTGATGTCTTGAGGCAAAGACCAGGATTCAAATTTACAACATTCATTATATTAATGCAAGCTTCAAAGCAAGATGGAAATCTAACTTTAAATAATGAACTGAATCTTTGAGCCTTGATAAGAACCCCCCGTCAGGGGGGTATGGATAATTTTTGGAACTACATAATAGAGAACTAACAAGAAACTATACTGAATCTGGGAATCAAATGCAGGTCACATTGGTGAGATGCAGCTCATTAGCCCCATACACCAACATGCTTTCCTTTCATAAAAATATCAAACTTACCAACAGAGGTACAAGCACTGTAAGAATGAGCTTGATTAAAAGCTGTACAATATCAATTTTGACCCCTTCGAATGACATAAGCCATTTTATCATCAGTGGAACAGTAAAAACAGCCATAAGGTTACAGATTACTGTCGTCATGAGAGCTAATGCTGCATTTCCTCCAGCTTGTCCTACCTAGAGAATCAAAACAATGACTAAGTTACACTTCAGGGGCGAAGGCAAGGGGGCAAAGTACACCAGGGCCTTCCCCCTTCATTGCAACAATGGTGACTATTTAGAATAATTTATACAGTAAATCTAAGTTTTTTTAAAATTTATTTAAGAGTGAAAGGTAATGTTGTTTTTTTCATTCCTGAACCCCCCTTCCATACCCCCTCCCATCCCCCACCCCCCACCCCCAGGAAATCCTGGCTATGCCCCTACACTTGAAATAGGTTGCAGTTGAGATACTTATGAATGAATGGGAATTATCACTGAGGAACCACTTGACCCGTGAAACAAAATCTAAAATTCTATATTTAATATAAAACAATTTCTTATTAGCATCCATTGTTAACGGCACCAACATGGCCGCCATCCTTTTGTCTTTTAGCTCTCTTGGGAATGCTTGCAACCCATCAACAATTATTGTTAAGTCGAGGAGACTTTTGGCAAAATAAAAAGGTTTGGCCCTCCACAAAAATTCAATTTGTTGCTGATGAAACCTTCCCTCTGAAGCCCGACCACTCTCCCCCTAGACCCCAAAATAAACAACGTAACTTCCCTTTATCCCTTTTAGTTTGACTGCCCACTTTTGAAATGAGAATGACATACAATGCACTCACCAGAACTACTCCTGCGGATATGGTACAAGGCACTATAAAGTACATCTGTATTCCAGTCCTAAAGGCCTCTGGCCCCAAAACAGAATGAACAGTTTTCTCTACATGAGAATCATTCATTTTTTCTCGAGTAGAATTCATCGTTCCATTTTGACCATTTGAAAAGTCCTTCTCAACACGACCTCCAAAGGGTAAGAGTTCAGTCAATTTAACGCCAATCAGAGGAGTCAAGAACATTATTATAATAATCTGAAGAAGCAGGGCTTTATAAGCACGAAAGGCATCTTTGATCTCTCCAGTGCGAAGCTTGATCCCGCTATGTAGGAAAAGGCCAACAATGCAAATATAATGAGTAGGATACTTGCTGAGAAAAACTCCCGGAGCTGGAACTAAAATGCCAAAAAACACTAGAAATATAAGTCCTATAGGAAGATAATTCTTGAATAAGAAGTTTAATGCCCTCTTGTACAGAGGAACCTTTGGTAAAGTAACAGAAACTTCTTGTTCTTCCTCAAGATCATTTGTTAAAATATCGCTATCAGACGCCATCTTGGATTGTGAAATAGCAAAGGGATCCCACATATATAGGTTGATATCAACACAATAGACGTCACTTTCGGTAATAGCAGTGTTTTTGATGTCTTGTTGAATCTTGGAGGTTGTTTTGATCTCTTGTTTTCTGGTTTCATGTCATAGAAATAGTCAAATACAATAGTTTGAGGACTTATTTTGACATGTTTTGACTTAACACCCACTAGTTGCCCCTCAGTCAACTGCTTGTTTTCCCCCAGTCAGTGCAAAGTAAATCACAGGAGGCCTATTTAAAAGCCCATGAGATAATAGGTCATGTTTGACATTCTTAAAGTTTAGACTTGATTGAAAAACACTTTGAACTTCCACGTACCTTCACTGGAACATACAATTATTCTGCACGAAACCAAGGCTAATACTGAGCAACAGAGAACTTGAAACATTTTCTGATTCTGGAGAGCCTCGGTATCATGCTAGAATTTTAATATCTCGAACGTGGCCTATTTTTTGTTGCCTTGTCGCAACATCTATAAAAAGTGTCTCTGCAAAATAAAGTGAAAGGAGAACTGAACAATATTTACTCTTTGTGAGACTCAAGTCATTAATGAGCTCTAGTATAAACCTAGCTAGTATGTGTAATTTCAAAAATTATCCATACCCACCCCCCCCCCCCTTCAGGACAGAGGAATTGAGGAATTTGTAATTTCCAAGGGGTAGGGGGTCAGAGAATGAACAATATTACAAAGTTTGTATGGAAGAAGATTGGAATTTCTTGGGGGTGGGGGTCTTTAAAAAAATCCATCCTGGGGGGTATGGATAATTTCTGGAACTACACAGCTATAACCCACTGGTCTATCACAAATCCTGTGCACTGATTGGATGAGTATACTAGCAGTCTATTAGGGATACACCAGTAGTAGTGAAAATAATTGCTTGTTTTGAAAACCAAAACAACACAAAAAATATATTATTTCAACCTCATATCACGTTTCATATCCATTTATTTGGCCGATACTAAGGTAGGTTTATGCTAAAACAAATATAACTCCCACCCTCATGGTCTACGAGTCACTAGCCTATTCGACCTTCAGCCTCATTAACCATTGACTTCAAAGACCATTCGGGCTGTAGGTCTATATTTTAATCAACATATGAGTAGTACAGTGTCTGTAGGGCTGTAAATTATGGGCCTTTAGTCTCAGTTACAAAAACACTGATTACTTTATAAAAGATTTGAATTTTAGTAGCCCAGTGCTTGTATTAATACCAAATCTAGTCAGTGGATGAGTGACCATGAACTTCTGGTCCTCAAACACCAATGTTTTTTCATTTTCACAAAATTGTCTTCCAGACACATTGAGTTTGGGTGTATCAGAAGTAGGATGGCTTGGAAAATATGATAGTAACATTGAAGAAATATGTTTTGCAATTCCCAGACAGGCAGAAAGTCCAGTAGATCTAATCCCACCAACTGTAATCCAGTTTCTCTGTGGTAGAGATTCAATCTGGTAGTCTTTGTGCTCAGTCGCTGGTCTTAGGCCAGCATAGGTGCCAATGACTTTATGTTCTCTCAGCCCAGGAACGATGTAATATGCTCTTTCAACAAGCGTGTCTATAACTTTTTCATCTATTTTAGCCTCATTACGATCAGATTGATCTTCAGCAGTTGGTCCAACCACTATGTTCCCATAGACAGAAGGAAATACAAGGATTCCTTTCGTTCTTTCTGTTGGAACAGGGAAAATGATAGAGTTCAGAAGATTTTGTGCAGACTGATCAAAGACTGCATATTGTCCTTTCCGTGGCTTGATTGCGAAGGGTGAAGGACGGTTAATTTCTTCAACGATATCCCCAAACAAGCCTGCACAGTTGATGACAAGCTTGGCTTCAATCAATCCCTGACTGGTTGACAGCTCCCAGAATCCTTCTGGCTTCCTCTTCCCCCCCTCTACCTTACATCCCCTTAAAATCTTTCCTCCTTGAGATATCCCCAGTAATGCAAGGGAAACCGAAAATGACCATGGATCAACGATGGCTTCTCTAGGAACAAAAACTGCTCCTAATGCTTCAGGATTCAAAAAAGGCTCTTTGTGACGAACTTCTTCAGCTGATAACATCTTTACATCATGCAGTGACACCAGCTTCGTGTGCATGGTTCACGAGTTCTGGAAGCTTTTCAAGATCTTCCTTCGTCCATGCCACAATCAAAGCACCAGAAATCCTATAAGGAACGTTATTATCTCTAAAGAATCCCTCGTTGAGTTGTGCAGCTGTCTTAATGCAGTCTAGTTCAAGGCTATTCAAAGGAGCATCAAAACCAGTGTGTACAGTGCCACTATTTCCACAACTCGCCCCAGAAAGAATCTCGTCGTTTCGTTCACAGAGAACACAGTTGAAACCTTGAGAAGTGAGCTCCTTAAGAATAGAGCAGCCTACTACACCGCCGCCAACAATCGCTACATCGAACTGTCTTTGCTCAGACATTTTTTTTTTAAATAATTTTTTTCCTGTGTGATTACTGGAAAAAAATGATATCACACTAAGGGTTCTGGGTATTTTCTGCTGTAAGGGATCAGTTTACTAACTTCATTACTTCATTATTGGCAGAACTGTCTTTTTCCTTCGTAACTTTCCAACTTAATTTATGACAATTTTCTAATCTATTCTAGTTTTAAAGCTGAAATATTCAGAAATTTCGAAATCAGCCCTCTTGTACCCTTTTTTACTAATACCCCCCCCCCCCCCCCTCCCACACACTATGAACCCTATAAAACACACTTTTCCATCCGCATCACTCCCCCTGGTACTATTTGGCCAACCCCTGATATTTTTTTACTTAATTTTCAACGCAGATTTCAGCTTATTAGTAACACTACTGCATCCTATTTCTCTCTGGTGCATTTCATGCAAAACCGATCGAAAGCCTTTGTAGTATCATCGTTGACATATTGCATACTGTTGCATATATATGACACTATTATTTTTTTCAATGACTCTAAATGACACTAGTAAGACTATCACATCCTATTACTCTACGGTACATGTACCATGGAAACTGATCGAAAGCATTGGAACGTATACTGTAGCACATAATTGGCTTCTCAGCAGCACGCAGTCGCGGCATAGTTAACAGAGAGTAAGTGTACGTACATGGAACACTTAAGCTCTGCTGCGATACCTCTCCATCCAAGAAAAGCAACTAAAAGTAACTAAAAGTTTAATATTTTCCTATCAAATGCAATGTCCATCCCTCCCGCTGTAAAAATCAAATATGCGAGTTAAGCGTTGTGTGCATAGAATATTGATGGTAGTGGTAGAGTGAAAAGTGTCTCCAATTAGTGGGAAAACACTAGAATCATCACTTATCACTTTTATTACTTTAAATGTTTGAAAAATTAAACGACATGAAAAATCAAATAAGGTCAATTTACGTGCGAAAAAATAATGGGACTGCATGTTTGCATACATTATATTTATAATATTATAGTGACACTTCGCCATTGCTATTATAGTTATAATCCCGCCTACTTTCCACGTTGACTACAAATTCAAAGCTTATTCCTTGGTCGCAAGCAGAAGCCAATCTTTTTTCAGCTGTATTGGTTGCTTAGAAACCCTTCGTCATTGGCAGAAATGTGGCAGTCACTTTTACCAAATGAAAATGCAAATCTTCAGCGTATTTTTATCCTAAGCAAGAACAAAAATCCCAATATTTATCAAGGGTTTACTTCAGGCTACTCACAGACATTTCTCAGGTAAGATAAAACAAAATAACAAAGTCGACAGTTTTTTTAAAAACTTAAAAATCAGTCAACTTAGTTAGCAAAATGAAAACCGAATGAGTTCCTTGTATTGAGACTTTTTTTCTTGAGTCTGGAAAAAATCTTTGATTGAAATAGGTTTTTTTAACCGCTTTAATACCTCGTCCGTACTAAATAGAATAAGGTTTTCCTGAACTATTTAGAAGTTGGGATTATGACTATTTTTTTAAAGTTTTATAGTTTAGTCATTGATAATTTTTTAGAGGCGTTTCGCGATGTAGACTTTTGAGCCATTTTCCCGAATCTTTTAGTCTTTCTTACAACGACTATAGTTCATGTTAATGTTGGTGCTAGTGTTTCTCTGTTTTAACCAATAACCAAAGAGTACTAATTCTTAAAATAAGGTTCTGTATGAAGGTGAAGAAAAGTTTAACTTGATACAGTCTTGATACGGTCTTTAGTACGCTATCACGCAACATGAAAAAACATTGAAAAAAAAATATTGAAATATCTTTAGCAAGGAAAAGCTGTGGCCTTCATTGTATAGCTTGCTTTTCATTTTCGAGAATATAGATAAATTTACTTTTTTTCAGGTTAAGAAATAACGAAATTGCATGGAAAACTTTAACCGGAAAGTCTCTCTTGAAGATCAACAACTCACTATAAAGAGCTAAAGAAAACCTACAGGGGCTGAAAACGCTCACAGACAAGAAAAAGAAAAGAAAAATCCAGCGGAGAAACGCAATTTTTATTTCAAAGAAGAAAAAATACAAGAAATATCAAAGAAGTAAGAATATGAGTAGAAAGTAAAAGATCAATTAAAAAACTCATTAGCGGCTCACTGCAAGACACTGAGTCGGTCGGTAACCAAATAACATGTAATATGATTTCAAAAGTTAATAATTGTATTTGCATTCTTTACTTTTAAGGTTTTTAAAAACTGTCAGTAATGTAAAATACTCGCAATATAGAGAGAAAACCCAGAATGAAAACTAAATATATATTATACAGAAATTTCGGCGTATAGTTTCAGTGTTGCGTGTAGAATTGAGGACACGAATTCACTTCAACTAATTTGCAGCTTACTTCAGAGTTCAAATA